CCATTTGAACATCAAAGGTTCAAATCATCAATTTTAGGATTTTAAATATGATTTTGTTGAAAATTTTGTATGATTTGGAGTTTTTATAAAAGATATATAGGCGCTCAAAATCAAGGTGTTGATTTTGTACCTATTCTCATTCTTTGAGGCATAATGCATACGTATAAAAGATTTTTGAAGGTTAAATTGTGCAATTGAAAATTTGGTTTAAAAGACTACATTTTACATACAGAAAGAAAAAGGTTTGGAGTTGATTTAAAGGAGCAATGATTGCTTAAAGATAGCACTTCCAAATTGAATTTTGTTAGTAAACCAATTTCATGAGAGATTCAAATCTAGCCATATCTTAGGTATTTGGATGAATCTTTAGCTAAAATTTTCTACAAATGTACATTACTATGTTATAAAGTTATATATCAAATTTTATGATATTTAAAATTTGGATTTTTGAAATATGAAGAAAATAGTACTTAAGTACTTGTAAATTGGAATTTAGAACACCAACTAGGATTTCTAAGATGCCAAACGATCTATAGTAAATTTACAATGTATTTTTTTGTGGAAAAGCCTAAGAATAAATACTAAATTATCTAGAAATTTGAAAAAAAATGAATAGTTGGATCAAGAGATATAAAATTCTAAAATTTGAGAAATAAAATATTTTTGAGAAAAAAAATGTTTTGAAAAGATTTTGTTATAATTTGAATATTTTATAAAAAATAAAGGGATTTTGGAATCTAAGACTTCATATATATATATGCTAAAAATAGAGATATAGAGCTATAATAAAATTATGATATAAATATGGAATTTTAAAAAGAGATTATGTATTTTTTTGGAATTATTGAAAATCTAACTTAACAACAAATGATTAATTATGACTTAATATAGCAAAGGATGTTAGAAATTTTTTAGATTCTCTAGAAAGCCTTATATACAAACCTTATTAAATATAAAAGGATTTTATTAGTAGAATATCTTTTGATATTATTGCATTTATTTATCTTTTATAATAAGAATATATCACTTATTGGAGCTTAGCCAGTAAGTTAAAGTTAAAATCTCTATAGTGAGGTACCCAATGTATTTTCAAATCATAAATCACACCATAAGACAACTTGTAACATGTGGTTAATTTATTGATTAAGTTTCTAACTTATCAAATAACTACAAATACATGTAGGGTCAAAATTGCATCTATAAAGCTTCTAAGAAGCTTTTCTAGAAGACATTATAAAATTAATCTACTTTTACTTACTTCTACCTAATCATATAGATAATTATTGAAATAAATATGTATGTGATAGTTTGATTCAATAATTTTGATAGCATAATCTTTATTAATGATCAATTTATTTGGTGTAAAAATATTTGTGGTGTGAATGTTGTTTGCAAATAATTTCCTATTCATATTAAATGTTCTTTGTTCTTTTTGATGTTGTACCATGGTTATTGTCTCAGACTTTTTAATAATTATTGTTGTAATTTTAGTTGAGCAAGTATGATGAGTATCAAATCCACTAATCCTTAATAAGTAGATTTATAGTGATGAGTTAGCAAGTGGGGCATTAGTTGTAAATCTTGGAATATGCATTGTATTGTAGAATAAATATCAGATTCATTATAATTTAGTAAACTATATGGAGATGTGCATTTTTTAGAAATTCATTAGTATATTTTTTTTATGTTGATTTTGAATAAGCTTAAAATATAGAATTAGAATTAAGATAGTGGATCCATATTGAATCATATTGTATTATTATTACTAAATCTATTCTACATAATTAATTAAGATAGAGGCAATTTTTACTTCTTTACTTGGTTGGTGATTTTTTGTGGCTAATTTGTATATAAACTATTTTTCAATTTTATATTGACCAAAGCATCCAATGCTTGTTTTTAGTAGATATCTTGAAATGCAATAGATTAACATCGAAATGATATAGTAGATAATTAATACATATGGTTTTTATTGTATTTCTATTATAGATTTTTGAAGTATGTAGATTCATTTTTTATATATAATGTATAGAAGTTTTTAATGCATTTTTGTTGTTTAAAGGTATAATGTGACAATATGTGGATTTTTGTGATAAATATAAGTATTGAATATTGTATTTTAATCTACATCTTAACATTAAATGCAAGGTAATAACAAAAATATATAATAAAATATATTATAGATTTAATGATGAATTGATTGTGTTTATTATGTGTTGATATGACATATGTTTATTCATGTTAATATAGTGTATATTTATATTATTGTTGATATTCTATTTACTATTTATTGATATCTATAGTTGTATTGAGTTTGAATTATTGTAGTAAGTGCATGTTGGTATCAATGTGGTTTATATTTGTTTATGTCTATGTAGATATTAAGGCTTGCATTCTTTTATGTCTAATGCTATGTGTAACCTGGTTAAGGACGTCTATGGTGTAAAAAGGCTTTCTTTTTGTAATAATGGCATTGGACTTTTATCTTTAGACTATAAATCTATTCCTTTATGTACTTTATTGAATATTAGTACAGATCCAAGTCTGGATTGGACCAACAAAAATCCAACATGCCTTACATTAATTTTTTCACTAATTTTTAAATCACATTATGATTGTTGTATTTAGAATTATGTCAATTTAATTGTATTCCTTCTAACACAATGTTTGGTACTATAATTCAAAGTAGCAATTAACATGTGCAGCCTTTGAAACTAGTAGCAAACAGTACTTATAATATAGTATTCATAGTACACCACCTTATATAAATATTACATTCCAAACACCCAAAACCACTTATTTATATTCTCTTGGCACTTTCAATTTTGCATTGCAATTATATGTAATTACACATAGCTTAGCAATATAATTATAATGTAGGTTTTTTGGTTACACAAGATTTTTTTTAAATAAAATAAAAATGACTCAATTAACTTATAAATATAATATATGCTTTATAAAACCTTTTTTATGATATAAATTTATTTAAAATCTAAAAACCTAGAGTTATTTTTCTTCATAAAATTTTAAAATTAATTTTTTTAATAAAATATTTTTATTTTTATTTTATAATATCCTTAATCCAAAAGTTAATTTTTACATCTAAGAATTATGCGTAGTTAACTCTTGCCTTTTAAAGAGATTACATGTTAACTTCTGCATGATCTTTTAGTTAATTATTGTAAATAGATGCAAGATAATAGTCTTCTTAAGATTTTTCAATACTTTTTTTATAATCTAACCTTACTTCAAGGTTGTCTAGTCTTATTTACACTTAAAATATTTTTTTTCTTCATCTTTTAACTTACACATGCACATACACACACACACACACATATATATATATATATATATATATATAAATACACATATAATTACTTACATAAAATATATTTATTTAGATTTGTATCTTTGACAAAATCAAAATGAAGTAATTACAAAAGAAAAAAGAAAATAAATTATATATATATATATATATATATATATGTATAGATACATATATATATGTATAGATATATATATATATATATATATAATTATATATAGATATATAATTATCTATAACTTTATAGAAATTAATAATTTAATTAAAGTGCAAAATATTTATAATCTATAGAGTTTTTAACTTACATTACTTAATATTGGAGAAAAAAATAAGATAGAAGATTGTAATAGAGATGTAGAAATTTATATTTTTTAAATATATATATATATATATATATATATATATTTCTTTGAATAAATGAATTTAAAAAAAATTGCAAGGAAATTCAATTGTTAAATAGAAGAAATAAAATATAGAGAATAGAATAAAATAAAATCAATGAAATGTCAACATTAACAAAAACAATAGCAATCATTATATCAAACATTACATTTTGTATTCAGAAAGGATTTTGTTCAGGTTGATTAATAAGTTTACATTATTAATGAAGAATTTGGTAAGTGTAATAAAGTTGATACCAATGTCTAAAGTTTTTATATAATCAAATAAAAAGTATCCCAAGAGATACAATTAAAGACTCTTATCAAATTCAGTTTCAAACATAATGAAGGTGTAGATTTAGAAGGCAAACAAAAAAATCCTAAAGTAAAAAACAACATTATTAAGAATGCATCCACTTTAAAGATAGATAGATTTTATGAAGTAAATAATTTAAGAAATAATTGATTAACTGCATTCTTGAAGAAATTTAACTTAAATTTAATACATATGTTTTTAGAAAACTTCAAGATATAAGTTATTTTACAAGACATAAACTTATTTTTAAATGAATACAAATTATTCTTCAACTAATGTATTTAAATAATATAATTACAAAATTTTAAAGATTCTAATTTCAAAAAATCATTTTAAATTTTGAAAAAGATTTAAATGATGTTAAGATATTAAAGGACTTTGTTAAACATCATGTACCATCAGAAGAAAAAGTATGTAGTGTTTTATCAAGTTTTTAGAAAAGTTAAAGATGCCAAAAGGTGAGATTATTATTACTAAAAATATTATTAAAATTACATTCTTCATAAAAAAAATCTTGGATAAATTAGACAGTTAATAAAGATTTAAAATGTACATTAATTATTTAAAATTTTACAAAAATTAGTAAACATTTGTTTAAATTATCATGAATTATTTATTTTGATGTTTTGACATTTTAGGCATAAAAATCATAGAAAATTAAGTAATATTCTATTTTTTAAAATACATGTTACATAAAAGTGAATGAACAACTACATATTATTTATAAAATAAGAACAAAGTTAAGATTTAGTAGCATATATAATGATCAGTATTTTAAAGGAAGTTGTTAGAATTTAGAAACGAATACCAAACGTGCCCACTTAAATTTAAAATTCCATCTATTTAAAATTATATTTCAAAAGTTGGTAGGTAATGTAATTGACATCCAATGTGTGTGTTCCAAATGAAGTCCTTGACGACAAACCCTAAACGAAACATCCACAAGCATCATGGCCATGAGAAATTAGAGTTTCCTGGCACGTCCGCCCTCAACCTCGTGCCCTCTCCCGTCTTACTCGTCGGGTTGCTCACTCCCAGTGGTCGTGAGCCATTCATCGGTGTGGCGTGGAAGACGTGGCGCACTTATCAACACATTCCATCGCTGCTCTTCTTCTTACTTTCAGGCCAATTTTTGAAACTGTGTGTTAATTGTTGTGCTTGAGCGATTGTGTCTTCTTCGTTCAGTTCGCAGTTGTTGAAAGTTCGCTGTTGTTTTGTTCCTCGGAGCTTTGTTTGTTGTTGGTTTGGTTATGTTTCTCGGTTAGGTGGGGGGAGGCGAATTTTAGGTTTGTGGAGGAGAGGACAGGAGAGTGGAGCCTTGTGTTTTCACTTTTTATTGTTGTCGTAGTGTTTCAAAGTTGGTCGTGCTTGTGTGAGAGTTTTGTCTTCCTCTCCTGAGGGGAAAAGTAGATGGCAGGTATGCCGGGTCTTGAAATCCAGAGAAGGGGCGAAGAGGAGGATATTTTTGATTCCACAGTTCACCTTGAAGGTTCACACTTTGAGCAAGGGTTTCAGGATGGTTTTCGGGATGGTGTCGAACTCGGGAAGGTAGAGGGGAGGGAAGTAGGGCTGAAGACAGGATTTGAACTCGGGGAAGAAATTGGATTCTTCAGAGGCTGCGTGAATATTTGGAACGCCGTCTTGCAGAAGGATCCGTCTGCATTTTCTGCCAGAGCTCAGCGAAATATTCGTGTGTTTGATCAGCAGCTGAATAATTATCCTCTTAAAGATCCTCAGGACGAAAGGCTTCAAGATTCGCTGGACTCCTTACGGTCTAAATTTCGTCTCATTATGTCCTTATTGTCAATACAACTTGATTACCAGGGTTTAGCCAAGGTGGATCATACAGAAGACTCACTATTTTAAATATAGAATGGAACCTTGTTGAGTTCATTGTCTTTACTTTTGTTTAGGGCAATCGATACTCAAGTAGGAAAAGCCACTTCGCGAATTCACAGGGCTTCAGTATCTGATTCTGAAACCAAGATTTTGTATACCAGAACCTCCACCATGCGTTCGAACAGTGACTCAGTGATTAGCTCTTGTAATGGAGAAGGTTTACTGGAGATAGGATAACTTGATAGCGAACACATGCAGAAGAATTTTAGAATTTTCTGCATCTTCAATACATATGATGATTGTTACAGTGATGACGGATAAGTCATAGAAGGCAAGATGAGAAGCAAGGAACACGAACATAACCTCGAATGTGATCATGCTAACGATGGGGCGAATGACTCCATCCAGCCTCCTAACAACTGAGATATCGTAGATTGGACTGCTGGATATGTCAATTAAGTATTTTTCGGGCTTTCATGTTCTGGAAGAGAGACCCAACCTCAACGTAGCTGCATGGGAAACGAGAGTCAGGTACGGGTGTTACACAGAGCCAAGGCTTTGTTCAAAATGGTAGTTGGGTAGTCGGTTTCTCGTTTTGGAGTAAACCCCTACTCTATACTGTCGGCTTGCAACCCCTGTGTCCATGATGTACTACTTTACAGTATAAAATGAACGGATCTTGGGGTTACATCACTATGTTTTTTTTCCAAAGGTTGCTGCTATCAAATCTCCCGAGATAACTGGTCTACTTTCAGGTAGAACCTTGATGGACTCAGATTCACCTCGATGGTTTGAAAATCTTTTCAATTGCCATTGTCGAAGGCAATCGGGAAGTCGCATCTCATGATACTTCAGATGGCTTCGTATTTGACTGGGTCCTTTTGTTTTTGGGATTATTATCAAGTTTAAATGACTTTTCTTCCGGATTGATTTCGCACATTTGCTTCAGTTGGCGTGGTTTGTCTGAAAATGTCGAGAACAGTAATTTGTATTGTCTGATCATCGTGCTTTTCGGCACTTGGTGTGGGCACGTTTGATCTGGCATTGACGTTGATACATACCTATTATTCCTGGTGAGCAGAATATGCACATTGCTTAGTCTATGCACTAATTAGGAGCCCTGATTCTCAATTACAACCAAGCTCAAGTTAAGTGTATGCATTTGCACAACAGAGCACGGAGGGTCGAGATGATGAAAAATTGAATTGCAAAGTGTGCGAATTATGTAGACGATGCCTTACATTCCTACTAAGGGACTATGTGTTCATACATTTAGATTTTATTAGTAATTGAACGTTGTCACTTAAAATGTGTAGTCACTGTGAGCTGAACTGTTTTAAATCTATGCTTGGTTCTTCATATAGTGTGGGTTTCTTTTGGACGTGGTTACTTCAGTAATGATATTACTTATCGATTTGCAGTGATCACATAACCTTTGTTTCTGAGATGTCACTTGGGGAATTCCATTTGGAGCACCAGAATCAAGTATTATACCATATCGGAATCTGGATGGCTGGCCCGCTTCGTCCGAAATATAACTGATAACAGAATGTGGCAACGAAATAATTCCAAAGAAAAGGGCTTCATGAGTTGTAGATCTAACGATGCAAAGACATCGAATTATGAAACTAATATTTCCATTGTCAATTGTAGACTTGCACCCTTTCAAAAGTCTACTACTACACGGACCACCAGTGCTTTCTATATTGAAATGGTCGCTCAAAGCTTGGATAAATATTGCCAGTCCAAATGTCAAGATGCTGAATGCTTGGTTCAGAGTGTTTCTGACAAAGTCTTTTTGAGCAGATTGTACCCAACCCTTGTATGAACAAAGATCTGCAAGTTTGATAAATTGCAAATACCTAGGTCACAAGCCTAGATTGCTCAGCCTTTTACAGGTGAAAACGGTGTCGGATAATATACTCAACCTAGTTCGGCTGCTTTACCCCAAACTTGCATAGAAAAGATGGGAATATTTCATGCTTGCTATTTAATGTTATACAATACAAGATAACTTCACGAAAGCCTTGCCGATTTTACCGGCAGGTAAGTATCTGTTCCAATACTTTGACTGTTGAGGAAAAAGGAGCACGGAATTTTGCTTGACAAATAAAAGTTTGCAATTTTGTTTGAGTATGTAATCATCTCACAAATGCTTTCTGGTACAGGCTTGCGTGAGATAGATTGAAGTTGGCTTACTCTACCTATGTGCTACATGAAGAAAAACATTCTCTTCAACTAGGTATGGCATTGTAGCGCGTACAATAGGGATGATGTCATGAAAAATGACTCATCATTCGAGTGAAAGCCACTGGTGTTTGTCGACCACTTTCCTGGTTTCCACAACTTACTTTCTTTTGCAGAATTTCAATGACGCCCACGCTCCCTCTTCTGCCATGAAGCTCCGTTGTACAACTCCTACCTCAGCTCGTTCCCCCTCCATCGTCAGAGTGCTTGCATGCACGAATTATTGAGCAGCTTGTCTTTGGTTTTGTGATGCTTCGTAATAGCTTTGGCTGATCCAACCTCACAAGACTTCTGGGAGCTGGAGTGCTTATGTGATCACTGTCGCTGTGAATAGTCTGAGTTCTCTAGGAACCTCGCAGCACCGATTTGTTGGCCTCACAGACTTAGCAGGTTGGACAACCATGTCGAATCTAATGACGGAGGTGAGTGCAGTAAAATGGTGACACTGTTAACATAGTAACGTGGTCTGTGTGTTGAGGTGATGTTGGGTCGACTGTAAAGCCACCAAAGTACTCCTTGCAGTGTCACAGGAATTGGAGACTATCCTGAACGTTTCTGTCTGCGCTGAAGCTCTTCTCGAGCATGCCATCATTAGAATGTGCACATGACATTGAGCTTTTGTCCGAAATAATTTTCACTTCAAGTTTAAGAATTCAAGATGCTACCTTCTCTTTGTCAGGTCTCGTCTTACTCATTGCTTGTGTAGAATATAAATTCTACCAATTAGAAGAAAATGACGCAATTCATGTCTGTCCACAGCTGTTCTATGGCAAGCCGGAGCCTGTGTGGGAGATTAATAGCCGGCGAAGGAACATGGGAGTCGCCGCAGATCCTTATTATCCGACCAGTGTGGCTTCCAGGGTGTACAGCAGTCGCGGAACATCTCACATGCCAGTAAAACTCTTCTGTTCCAGTTTCAAAACTCCATATCATCCTGTCAGCTTTGGTCACCCACACAGCCTCAAAGTTGCCCAACCTTTTTCTCAAACCAGAGCTTGAGCTGTGATTGATTTCTCCTCCGAATCTGGGAAGAAATTTCTCAGTGTATTTATCTCTCATGACGTTTCTCTTTTGGCTGTGCAGGATGTGACAGTGAAAACTCCTCTGTATGGCATGGCCGACGTTCCAGAATTAAAAATGTCTTGTACGTTGAAGGTGAGTGAAGATCCTTTCATCAGTTTTCAATCCTGTTTCTCTTCTTTTATTTCTCATAACAGTGACTTGAATCTTTCTAAATCAACATGTTGGATGGGTGGTATGGCAGGTGTCTACGACGTGGTCTGCGATGTTACCCAGCAAACGGTGACCGTGTCGTCCAACCTTTCCCCACGAGTAATTGTGGCGCTTATCCGTCAAGGGATGGGGAGTGCGGACATCATCGACTACCTCGACCCTCTGCAGCCCACTTTCGAAGCCCCGCCCAACAGAACCCGATACTTGTCATACGACGATTCATACTCCTACGATGGCCGCACCGGTTACACTCCAGCGTACACTGCTCCTTACAACGGCAGATCTTATGACAATGAGTTCCGTCCTAGTGACTATGGCGGCCGTCGCGGCAGTTATGGCAGAGACTACCACTGAGCAACGCCAGTGTTGACGAAGGTCATAATTTATGTTCAGGTGAAGCACAGGCTTCCGTAGGAAATTGGGCACAAATTGGCATCTTATGGGTAGTACCATTCACCTCATGGTCAAATTTTGTAAATAGGACAAAAGGATTTTGTGAATTATTCCTCATCATTTTGATGTAGGGCTGTATCTGTATTGAAGGTTAGGTCTTGAAGGCAGCTCTGCTGATCATTCGCTGTGATCACTAACTGATCAATAAACACTATTAGTCAGATAAGGTTAAGGTTTTAAGTATTGATTCGTTGCACTCAAAATATAGAACACGGGAGTATTCTTCTATCGTTGAGTACAAAATAGGTCTATGTGGTAATAACAGGAGTCTCCTCCGGTGCAGAAGTATAAGTAGCTGCCTGTAAACTGTAAAGTATGCCTTAGAATAGAGAACAAGTAGAAGTATTAATGTGCGTCGATAGCATCACACCTGTGCACAAAGAAGCCTTCGCATGTCAAATGAATAAAATTCAAACCCGAGACGAGCTGCAGTGGAAGCGGAGGCATTAAGTAATTTTTAAACTATATTGATGGTACTACTACAACATTGAAGGAGATATGACATGATTTTCTAAGGGGGATTACATGAAGTTTCGCATGATTGTCATCGATAATCAGTGTAAGACTTTTAATCAGAAAAGACTCTCCAAATGATCCTGGCTTAAACTCTACGTGATAAGTGGATCGTATAAACATCCCAAGTAATCTGGAAGCGAAGAGTGCTACTTGAAATGTCGTTCTGCTACCACAGCAATCTGCCCAAGTCGAGAAAAGTAGACTCACAGATGTGGACACACTGAAGGCATTATGGTACAGGGGTGGCACATGTTACCTTTCGTTATTGAGAATCACGCACCACTATCACCATACAGCAACTAGTGCATTGACTCGACGAAGATATTCTTCAGAAACAACCCAAACACAAGATGCACTGAAATGAGCCCAGACTGAAGCAAACCGTGAAGGGTGGGTTCACAAGGTGAGCATCAGCCAGTTCGTCCTGTTGAGAAAAACGTTGAATGTAGGTTCAACGCTCTTGGAAACCTTTTGCAAACTCATTCTATCATGCAGAAATGAAGTGGTACATGAAACAATGGCGAAATCCACAATTAAAAATATAAATGACCAAAGATGAACCAAGTCACATGAAATGAAATCACCTAAAAGTGCTTGCATCCCCCTAAAGAAGTCTACCACTAAACGTATGTAAATTATCTAAATGCACAAGTGTTAATCAAAATGTGAACAAAAGGTAAAAAACCCCACCCCAGCGGCTACACCAAATTTCTGACCATGAAGTTCAGCCCCAGTATGTCGTAGGTGAAGAATCAGCCCAGTTGTGAAGCGTTTGAAAGAATCAGTGATGGATCAGACTGTATGCCAACACCCAAGCGAGCAAAAAGAGTATCACCGATGCGAACAAGCCCTCTAGCAGGAGAGTACCATCGCCACCAAATTCTTCAGCATTCACCCTCAAATAAAGCGCGTAAACACCGTAAATGATCGCAGATGATAACGTGAGAAATACAATGATCCAACCCACTCCCGTCAGAGGTATTAACCCCCACACGATGCCACAAATGACTGCAATTGCTTGCCTGAGCCAGTGGAACACGTCACCAAGTTGATCCCGATCCCAAAACAAGTTTCTATTCATCAGCTTCTTAAATGCGGTATTGCTCGTGTCACTATCCTGATGCTGCCTCTCGCCTTTGACGTTATCCCACGACTGCACCATCTTCAACTGATTCCTGGAGCTGGGTTGGCTCAAGCTGGATGCCGCACGACGACTGATAACCCTAAATGCTGTTCTCGCAGAACTAAACCCTAAACCCAAACGAGGAATGTAGAAATGAAGACTCAAGAAGCTATCCACATTTACCACTTTCGAGCTGAGTCTGATAGTATGTAAATTTAAGAATCGGAAATAAAGATCTCAGAAGACAAATTAAGCCTCTGCGGAAGTGATAGAGTTGGAATAATAGTTACACTTTCTGGCAATGTCCTGGTGGCAGTGCGTGCTCTGCGCTATTCGGGCACGAATTGCAG